CGAGCGGCACCCCTGGGTCGCGGAGACGGTCGGCTCAGTAAATGGCCGAGTCTCTCCACCACCCTACACTACTCAACTAGTCGTGCTGTGCTGCTCTAGGCGAGCGCCGCTTGTCGGCGCTCGTTGGATTAGTGTGGCCTTACTGGTTTGATTGGCCTCGATCTCTACGGTGGACCTCCTCCGGTACCAGTCCATGTACTATATAGTACATACTATTGCTGTTGGGTTGTCACCAAGATTTGCTCTTGAAACTCCAGCAGCCAGTGCCGCAACGCCACTGATGGAAAGCACAAATGTGGACCCTTGCGCTGCTGATCGTAGTGTTCCCGTTCCACCAAATAGTCATAGGTGGCTTGTGTAATGTTGAGTATAGGGACTTGAAGTTCTTGCAATACTGGAATAATGGAGTGTCGGAAACTGGTTCCTCCACAATCAGTCCCCTTCAGTTCTCCAAACTATTTTGGTGTGTGGTTTCTTAAGCTTCATGATCATAAGAATGGCCTTCTTCATGAGTGCTGCAAAGGAAACATCAGGCTTCTCATCAGTATCAGTAGTATTGTCAATTTTCCATTCAGTTTCATGGGGTGTTCCCCGGATGCTCCATTTGTGCCCCACATCATCAATGACATATCCTATGGCTGTGGTCCCCCACCAAACGCCAACATGGAGGATGATATAGTCTGGGCCTTCCAGTATTTGTCTTGTGAAATTGGACTGTAGTGATCGAAGGTCAAGAACATGTGTTCGATTGTAATTGCAACATCCACCCACTTCGTCATGTTCAAAGAGGAATCGAGCTGCTGAATTGTGCTCGGAAAGACTGGCTGGTTTGGGCATTTCCCAGACGTACTGTTCAAACATTTGTCATTGGGTGGACCCTCCCACAGAGAGAATCTTGATGTTTTCCCACAGATTTGGCTGGAAAGACCACTTCCTGGTTGTGGTGGTAACCGTCGAGTAGTACCAAGACAAATTGGAGGGGTTCTCTTTGCACTGATAGTTGTGGCTTCTTTCCTGAGCCTCCCTTACTGTAGGATGTTTCTTTTCTGCCTCCATACCTTCGGGTTTCACACAGCACTTCCATCTGCCTGCTGTTGGTACAGGAGAGACTGTTTTGTTTCCTTCTTCATTGTCTAGTAACCTCTCGGCTTGACTATGATTTCCTTCTCCTCCTTGCACGTTGGTCTCTTCTGCGGGTGCTAACGACACTTTCATCACATCGCTACCTCCTAGCGCCATCAAGCTGGTCCGATTTGTTATCCTTAGCACCGTCCCAACGCCCAGAAACGTAAGAGCCGAGGCTCGTATCGCAGCTACTAGCTTCATCGTGCAATCAACTCTTCACAACATATGGTCAAAATGCTGTCCATTTTCTTTGTGGTGGTGGGCCATTCGTCGTCTCTTGGGCGTAACGCGGTTTCCCAGAGAGGTTCCGCTTGAAGTGGCCCCCCATAACCCTGGGAGGCATCTTCGTGCGTGATTTGTATCGCCAAAATGGTCCCGCTTAACCAAAAGTCGCGTGTAAAGTCGCATGTAAGTCGCACGCAAGTCGCGTGAAAGTCGTATGCGACTTTCTCAAACCAAATTGAAAGTCGTGCAAAATTTGCAGTTAACAACAGACAAAGTCGCGTCGAATCTCCGAAAGTCGCGTGTAAAGTCGTATGAAAGTCGTGTGCGAGACGCGTGCGAGTCGTGTGCGACTTTCCACGCGACTTTCAGCGATCCGCGCGACTTTAACAAAAACCAGTCACGAAGGGGCCTTCCTGGAATGCAAAAGATACTATTTATTTCGAAAAAGGCTGATGGTGGTGTTGATAAAGAGGTTGCTATAGTGTTGTGTTACTACTTGGTTGTTGTGGTTGTGGTTGATTTTAGTAATCTGGTAATCTGGTAACTGGATAGTCATAAATCGCTACCACAGGTCATTTTCGGTCCCCTCAAGCTAGAGGGGATCTATCTCACGCTAGATTGCACTTGACATGGGAAAACAGACTTCGGAAGTCTGAAACAGGATGTACCCTTGGGGCATGGCCCCTTGGAGGCTCAGACCTGCCGTTCACCAAACGGCCCACCCTATGGTCATGTTGCCTTTTGCAGATTGTTAGTAGAGGACTTTCGAAACCAGTCGCTGCCTCACAGGCCCGTTCTGGATCTTCGTCAACATATCGGCCAAATTGCTCTCTGTGTTCTCATAAGTGATGTTTGCCATTCCTGCAGCGACTCTTTCACGGACATAGTGGTATGCGACCGAGTTGCTCTTTTTCTTCAAAGTAGACTCCGGGATGCTCGAGTTCTTGATCACGGACATGTTGTCCGCCTTGACATGAGCCGGGCCATCAAGGGGAACTCCCATCATCCTGAGCTTGTACCGCAAGCCCTCCACGATCTCGATTCCAACCTTCATCGCCGCGAACTCAGATCCAAAAGAGGAAGTTTCAATGGAGCCCTGCTTCTTGCTGTACCAAATAATTGGAGACATGTTAGCAAAGACGAGAACACAAGTACGCGAACGACGTGTCACCTTGTCCTCAGCATGGTCAGAATCCACAAACATGGTGATTTGGATTGTTTTGCCGAGAGGCTTCGGCATGTCTGGAGGCAAAATCTCTTTCGCATCGGCATATAAATCACTCCAGTCAGGTAGCTCTGGTTCCACATGATCCACATAGGAAGGATCAAAAACAAGGTGAGAACGACTGTGCTGCTTGAGATATGCCAAGATATTAAACACAGCGTCCAGGTGCCTAACTCGTGGGGCTGCACATTACGAAGCCATGATTGAAAACTCGGTGCAGATGTCAATTCCCCCGAGTTCCACGGCCCATCGTAGCACTCCAATCTGCTGTTGAAAGTAATTTGTTCACTCGTCATCACAAAGGGTTGAAACATCCAACTCCGGGGTGTAATGGCTCGGTAACACTGAAGTTGCTTTTGACTTGAGCGTCTTCCCACGTCGCTCGAGCCATGTCTCCACATTTCTGAAAGCTTCCTTGACATACTGTTCAGATCCCATTGACCAACATGGTTTGTCAAACACGCCAGGGAGATTGTATTCCTTGACTGAAGCTCCAAGATACTGAGTTGGCTTTCCCAAGGATCCTAGCTTCAGCAGGAAATGCTGATCCAGGTAGCAGAGAAGGGTATTTGGGTTAGTTGACAGGCAAAGGTGATCGTCTGTGTATACCAAGATAATACTGCATAGTAATTCCCTTCATCAGGCCCTGGTGGCGGCACGCAACCAGACATCATTGTCTGCCTTACATGAGGTGAACCCCAGGTTGTCTCGCCGAACATCAGCTAAGTGGGCCCTCCATGCTGCTCCACTTGATTTGAGGCCATACAGGGCCTTGACGACCTTTGCTTTGCGTCCCTCAAATGGGCCAAATTCCTTACCGCATGTGATAAAGATCTTCTCTCGAACTGGGGCATTCAAATATGCGTTGCCAATATCAGCGGCCAATATGTCCAGATCGTTCAGGGCTGCAATCAAGAAGGCCAGTCGTACACTCTCTCGACTGACAACGCTGGCGTAGGTGATGGACGAAGGTGGATCGGTCATATGCCCCCCAGCAACCAGACGTGCCTTCCTTGTAAAGTCGCTTTTAACATCAAAGACCATGTGACAACGAATGTGAGTGTGTCCGACTGGGTCGGGGGCATCCTCCTCCAAGATTTCAAAAGCTTTGCCGACGGCTGCCATCTCTTTCTTAATGGCATCATGCCAAAAGGTTGTACCAGTCTCCTTGTCAATCTCAAGGGCATGCTCCACCGTTTTGGGAAGCTCAACCCCATATTTCTGTTCCTTGCGAAAGTAACGCTTCGCAACAGCAGAGATAATCCGATTCCGCTTCTTGAAGCGGTGTAGACCCACCAAGAGAAAGCTGGCTCTGACTCCAAGCCATTGTTCTGTGCATACTCTGCCGTCTGAATCAGGTAACCATCTTTAATGTCCTTAAGGGACTGCCATGAGGTGGTCCCATCCTTCCACTGGCACAAAAGTTTCCAACCTTTGGTGGTCCGTCGAAAAGTCTTCCTGCCATTCAGATAGATGTAGGCGTCGTACCCTGAAACAGCGTGTCCATCCTTCGCATGATCCAAGATATCCGCCAATTCAAAAAAAGTGTAGCCGTCATCATCCACTTGAGCATAGATAGACTCTGCAATGATGTTGGCCGAGTAGGCCTCGTTCTCGCCACTGTCAAACTACACCTCATAAAGGGAAGTATCAAGCAATGGTTTAGAATTCGAAAGGCCAATCATTTTTCCATCTGAGTTTCTCTTGCGCTTGGTGACTGTGCCATAAGTCATTTGGTCTCCCTGTGGGAAACAAACACGAGTTGCAATGTACTTATCGAAGGCTTCATGTTCATCTCATCTGCTTTCTGACAAACACTCTGGCAGAGAAGCTGGGTCACTATCATCAATTGGCTCATAATACTCTGGTATCTCTTCATCCTGACGAGATTCAGCATCATCACTGCTGGCCAAAACATAACGCTTGCCAAGGGACTTCTTCAAGGATTCTGTGAATGCTGCTTTCTTGGATTCAATCACCGGGCTCAGCTTCTCCTGGTCTGATAAGGGGATGACAGATGTCCTAGAGACCAACTGGCCCTTCTCGGTGAGGATTCGGGCACACATAGCGTCCCCAATGTCAGTGCTGGGGCCACAGTAGCGACCAAGGCGCTTCCTTTCCATTGACTCGCCCTGTCTCTCAGGAGAGAGGTACCAAACCCAATCATACCATCCAAACTCACAGATATGTGAGATGTCAGCAGTGTCCCCTGTCCAAAGAGTAGCGGGAACTTGACCATCCAACTCTCGGATCGGTAATGCGGTATGACTGCGAGTCAGCCCGCAGAAAGACGAAACCACATGTCCCAAGGCATTCCAAGCTATCAGTATCGTCATTGTTCTTCTGTAAGTTTCTCTTCACTCTCGGATTAGGTCTTCCGCGAGTTCTGGTTGGGTGTGTAAGCCTCACCGGATGGATAGGGCACTGAACGTCGTTGTGCCTTTCGGTGTTGCGCTGCGCAACGTTGGACCCATGTCCAACCAGGTCCACCGTGAGTAACCGACCGAATGATGGCCCAACACAGCCTTAGTTGTCTTGTACGAAATGCAGGTCCGGCATGTCTTGTTCTTCGGAACATTCTTCAGGATGCGATGGGAGGCCAAAACCTGGGTCAGCCTCATCTGCGGTGTCGGTATCAAGTGCTCCTGGCAAAGTGACTTTGGATCTCTGTAACATAAGCCAGAGGGGACCGCAACGCCTCGCTGACATTCAGAACATTGTCAATAGACTCCAGAACTCGTCGGACATCTTCGACCTTCAAGTTTGGGGAGGATCCGCAACATCAATCTCTTCTTGTTCGGACTCGTATAAAGCCAAACTCTAGTTCAATCTCGCCAAACTGGCTTGGTTGTGGAGTGAACTCACGCTGGATTCGTTTCATTGAAACTTGTAGAACCGTAGTTGTCTGAGTCGCTTCTAAAGACCAATCCCAGCTGTCGTCCACGGTTGGGAACTTCTCGGGGCTGAACTGCTGCGGCAGCTTCGGCAGTGGCGCAGCCGCAATGGCTGGAATGGGAATGGTACCACCTGGTTTACCTCACGTTCTCACGGCAGATCTCTTGATATCAGCATCGGTAGAGGTATCAGTGAGACGAAGGCATCCAATCCTTGATCATTCAATCTGTCCTCGTGGCTAATTCGGCAATACCGATTGTATTCTGTAGATAGTTGTTCATGGCTGCTAGATTGCCTGCCATATTCGCCTCCAATTACTTCTTCTCTTGCGGTATCACTTGGATGAGCAACAGTTGTTGGGGTCTTCTCTCTGCTCCTATTCCAAAAGCAAACTGTACACACCCAAACAAGTAAGCTGGTATTCCACGGAATGAGCTCTGCACACCCAGTCTGTGGCAGTCTAGGCCAAAACTCTTGGATCAGGCGTCCCCTCTCCTTTGGCTCAATCGATTTCTTTGGTGACAATGAGGCAGGAATTGATCCAGACTGGAGGGATCAATATTCGAAGTCCAAACCTCTGCTTCCCACTTGGAAGTCTCTATCTCTCGCTCCACTTGAGAGTGCCCCTTCTTCTTGAGAGGTCTTCTGTTGCTATGCCGCTTGGAGGTCTTCTCTTCTTCTCTTCTTCTCTTCTTCTTCCTCTGCCGATTACACTGGCAATGAGGATCTCTCGTTCTGTAGCTCCGAAACGGTAGCTTCGAATCGGCGACAATGGCGCTGCTTCGAATGAACGAACGAATGAACCGTTTGTTAACAGGCTCCTTCTTCTTCTTCTTTCTTCTCGATCCCAACGACAATGGGATATGACCGTCGCTTCGAACGAACGGTAGCGTCGTCGTCTTCTTCTCGTCGTCGTTCGAACAGTAGCTTCGAACGTATCTTCTTCGACAATGGCGTTGGCGTTCGAACGGCCGAAAGGTAGCTTCGACAATGGCGTTCGAATGAACGAACGAACGGTAGCTCTTCTTCTTGTGCTTGTCGAACGGCCGATCTCTTCTATCGATCGCTAGCTAGGGTAGCTTCCACGCCTGATAAGCCGAAAAAGGCTGATGGTGGTGTTGATAAAGAGGTTGCTATAGTGTTGTGTTACTACTTGGTTGTTGTGGTTGTGGTTGATTTTAGTAATCTGGTAATCTGGTAACTGGATAGTCATAAATCGCTACCACAGGTCATTTTCGATTTATTTATATATATTATTTTACTGGTACATTATTTATTTTTTAAAATCCTTCGCGAGCTTACCAGGAACTGTACGGTACAGCTGCACCGTTCCGGTGGTACTGGTACGAAGTTTTAGAGAGAAACAATAGCGCTAACCCTAAATATACCTCAACAATCTTATCTGAGACCGAAACCAAAACAAGGTTTCTCGACGCTCATGCTCACAAGGACGATGAGCACATGAAGCACAGTGTGTTTGTTACCGGTATCCTATCGTATCGCTTCTCACTGGTATCGTATCGTATCTCAATTGGGAGTTGTGATGATTGCAGATAGATGACGATGTGACCATAAAAACAGAATCGACAGAATCGAAAACAATACAGACAAACCACACGATAAAACAAAGCATAAAATCCAACCGACAAGATGGGCACTATTTCCGCAGCAAAGATTGAAAACAATGTCAACAGTGACGGAAAGTTGGCTGCCAAAGACTATTTTGTGAATCATGTCAATCAAGTAGTCGCCGAGGTGGACCAGCGAATGAATGGCGAATTGGCCCAAGAACCCAGCGAGTATCCTTGCATTGACATTAGCTCTTGGATGACAACGGACAACAAGAAATTCAACCAAGAAGACCGCGACAAAGTGGCGGCACAAGTCGCCCAGCAAGCCATTGAAGCTGGCTCTTTCAACATTGTGGGCCATGGAATCGATCTGGAGTTCTTGGATCGCCTGGATGAACAGTCCAAAAAGTTCTTTGGCATGTCTTTGGAAGACAAGAAAAAGCACTCCATCGAGGCGAGCCACCACGGTTATATCCCCATCCAAAGCGAAAGCGCCAGCACCATCTACAATCGGCAAGACTGCAAAGAAACCGAGAAAAAGGATCTACGAGAACTTTTCGCCGCTGTGTATCCCGTGGAAGGCAATGAAAGTGAGGAGCCTAGCTTTTATCGGGAGGTACTCAACGAGTTCATGCATCACATGAACAAGCTGGATCGGGTCCTTCATAAGATACTCGCGCTTGCCCTCGCTAGAGCAAAGGGAGTCACTCTTCCTGAAAGCCTCTTCAACGACGCCAAAGGAACCGCCACGGCAGGTCTTTTGCGAGTCTCCCACTACGCCAGCATGCCACCCGAATTTGACAATGCCTTCAAACTGGCCCCACACTCGGATTGGGGCCCTCTCACAATCCTCTACTCTCATCAAGTTCAGGGATTGGAAGAAGAACGTGATGGAAAATGGATCCAGGTCCCCGCCCGCAGGGGCGAAGTCCATATTGTGATTGGGGAAGTCATCTCGGCTTGGTCCAACTTGCTCTTCAAGAACAATGTCCATTATGTCAGCCAGCAAGCACCACCGGACAGGGTCTCCTATGCCTACTTTTGCGGACAAGGATTTGATCTGACCCGTAGGGACACGGACGAGGATGGCATGGAACCTGTTTGTGCACCCGGGGAAACTCCCAAGTTCGGAAGGATCTCTCCTCGCTCTCACCTTTTGGAGTATACCAAGGTTTACCTTAGTAGTAACGAATAGAAAAGAGCGCCAGTTGGAGTGGAGTGAGGGTATGCATGGAGAAGAGTATGAGAGATTTGGCACTTGAGGCAAGCAAGCGTCTGAATGGTCTAGAAGTAAGTCAAGACGCAAAGGGTGCTGGATGTTGTGCGCGGCAGGAGGGAAGGAGACAGAGCCAAGTGGCAACCGTTGTGTTCGTTCTATGGAAAAGATAAAGCTCTAGCTAACCAGAACTAGGATAGTTGCTACTCGTGCCCTCCACTGGACCCCGTTCTAGCTAGGTTCTAGCAATGTATGTATCATAGGCGACTGCCAGTAGCTATTAATAGGAGTGATCGTGGACATGGCCTTCCTGGACTGGTTGCAGCCAGCGCAGTCAGTTGTTGGCCATTTCCAGCCCTGATGACAGGATGCTCCTTCACCCCCGCTGATAAGATTTCCACAACCACCAAACGAGTCGAACTTGCCGACGTGATCAAGTAAAAGATTCGCTTTTAAAACACTATTATACTGTTGACTACATCGTGTACTCTTACAATAGCATAGCAGCGCTTCTTGTGTCTAAACCCCCATGATCTTTGGCACCTTTTTGTATTTTTCGCCAATCAAAATTGTTCTTGTCCGTGTTGGTTGTTGTCTAGCATCTAGTGTGCTTCAGGGCCGGCCGTGCCTTGTTGTGGGTTGTCATGGTGTATAAGTGTGTCATCGACTGATCCTGCCCTACTGTATGATAGCTTATTATACGCCCCCCCGTGTAATGGAGAGGACACACATGTAAAAGAAACTCAAAAATGCCATCCATGGAATTCGTTTGTGCGTGGGCATGACGCCGTAGGTGACGGCATGGCCGGGAAACCAGACCATCCAGGAATTGCGCCAATCCATGAAACAATTTCCCTTGTATGCCAACAATGCCGCCTTGACGGTAGCCCATCCAACGGTGCCAGTGGTCATGGCTTCTTGGAAAATGTAAAATGTGGGCATGAAAAAGAGTGGATCGGAAAACAGATTCATGGCACAAATTTTGGAAACGACGGCGCGTTTGGATGTTCCGGGAAAGACTTTTTCCCATACGAGATTGACAATGGCGTATTGGACCATTCCTTGATAGAGGAATCCAAAGGCTCCAAAGACCAGAGTTCGTTTGGGATTCCACGGGTTTGTTGTGCCTTCAAAGACGAGTTGGGTCAAGAGGTCTGCAAGGATAGCATTGACGGTAGTAATGGCCACTGCCGAGGAGAAGGGATGGCGCTTTAAAAAACTGTCGCCCTTGTTTTGGACATCACTATCAGCACTAGTAGTTCCACCACCACGAGGGCGAAGCACTGCTTTTTGGATCCGACGCAAGACGCCACGGGCAGGTTCTTCGGCCGGTACCAACACCGATGCCTGTTCCAATGCCAATGGAAGTCTCTTGGTGGGCTTATTGGTGGTTGTGGTTGGTCTGGACAATGACAGTGGCGAGCGCTCACTGGAAAATCCTTCCGTAGTGGATATCAGCAGCAGCAAGAGTGTCCCCACGAGGGCTGGATACCGGGCAAAGATCATCATGGTCTATCTGCTCTGTTTAAAAATGAATGTGTGCAGTTGTGTCTGTTGACTGTTGATTGTTTGACTCCTTTGTCTTTTTTGGATTGTCCTCTTCGGCATCTTCTTGTCCTTTTGCGTTCTTCATTCGGCATGCACCAATCGTGGAAATGGACCTCTCTGAACAGATAGTCATGACGTCATACTGAATGTGGACCTCTCATGCAAATGACACGTCACAGACAAGGCAAGTGAGCGTCATGCTACCGGTAACATGGATGTAAGCCAACAAAGCAAAACTGCATGGAGGATGGATCTTTGAAACATGTTTGCTTGGATACTGGTTCCGGGAAAGAGCCTCACAAGTTGCACAGCCTGACCCACCTTTCGTTTCTTGCTGGGCTTGGATACCTCAAGGGATACTGGATCCCTCCCTGCATCAACATCACAAAGACAACCACATGGGCTGTTTTATACAACTGTACAACAGCAACCATACAACAGCAAAAACTACAACAGCAACGATACAACGGCAACCATACAAGAACAATGACGAAGAAGTTGAACTATGCTTTGGTCAGCATCTTCAGTTGTGCGTTGACCTATGTCAGCGTCCTCTGTGGATTTATTAGCCTTCCCACCCCGCAGAATTGTATGAATCAACCGTCCAGGGACAAATCCCACCAAGTCGTTCATTATACCATACTGGACAACAGAGAAGAAGAGACAACACTACTAGGCAAGTTGCCGATGACTCAGGTTGTTCAAGAAAGCAGAAAGGCTTCTACCTCCACTTCCTACAAAACCACCAAAACTACCACACAACATCAAAACGCTAATAAATTCCACAGTCGCCTACGTTTTGTCATGGTGGTGGGACTGGAAGGCACTGGCCATCATTTCATGGGACAAGTCATCAAGGAATCTCCCATTATGGAAACACTGTCTCGACTCAAATTGGCACCCACAAAGTTGAAACTTTTGGATCAAAAACTATTTAATCACATCAATGCCACCACGGGCCTTTGGAATGCCCATTGTGCCACGGAAGAAGACGAACCACCACCCGATTTGACACACACCCTCAAATTGGTCGTCAAATATCTCAAGGAAATGGAACGATTAGCCAAAATGAATGCGAATACTAACAATACCATTCATGTTCCACTCAACACGGCTGTGGGAGGCGTCAAGGGATTTGGACAGGTATCATATCCCAATTTCAAGGGAGATTGTCGGAAATTAAACTATCCATCCCTGGATCTACTCTACCGCGCCTGTGATATGGCAAAAGTAGATTGTGGACACGTTTACATTTACCGCAATCCCGCCGCCATTCTGCAAAGTACCACCCGCAATCGAAAATACAGCAGTCGCATGCTGGAACAAATTCATCTCTACAAATCCATGTACCATATCATCACGGCCGAATTTGTGGCATTTCCCGAACGAACTCTGGGATGTTTTGGATTGCTCGAATCAAATAATGGCAACAACAATAAAGCTTGGTGGAAGGAAATGGCTCCACTCTGGGGATGGAACTCCAAACAATTATTCTACGAGTACATGGAAAGCATCTACCGCCCACCCAGACCCATTGACCAGAATTTTACCGAACTCTTGACATCGCGCAGCGTCGAGCCCTACATGCATTCTCTAAATGAGGTCCATCAAAAGGTCATTCAAGTCTGTCAAAAAGCAAAAGCGGGACAACTGGAAGCAATCTCGACACGACAAGAACAGAACTAAGCTAAGCTACGGAGCTGCCAACTGACTGCAATCTGTTGTGTTTGAGGTGGTTGCTACTGTATGTATAATACCGTACGAATGTCACCGCGACAATCCGCAGGAATTTTTGTGGAGATGGCTCCTTTTGCTTCGATTATGTATCATCATTCCCGGTATGAGAGGCGACAAGACCCAGCAATCATTCATTGAGCAACGATTGATTGATGTACGGTACTACCAGAGGCGTCACGAAAATAATGATGTGAGCATGGTGGACCATAAAATAAACGGCAAGAGTGCACTTACTTGTTGGGCAAGTGACAGTCGAGTCCAGGTCAAAATCTCAACTCACAAAAGACTGCGAGTCCACGTGGAAGCTCACGTTGGGGTGTGGTTGGATGCAGTGCTCCGCCGTCTCCGTCCTCTATTGAATGCGGCTGTACGTTACGGCATCCACTGCTGCGATCATGTTGCTGCTGAAACCAGCTTTTGTTTGTGCAAACCACAACTCGGTATGCGGACCCGGTGGTGCAGCGTTGCACCGGCGGTGGGCATTCCTTTCCAGCAAACTGCGGTGGCGGTTGACCCGGCCAGTACCAAATAAATGATGCAGTCACCACCAAGACTTCATACGGTAGAGTGTATCTCTGTTGTTGTTGGTAGCCCGTTGCTGTAAATGGATGTATGCGAGCTTTGCGTTTTCTGCTTGGAACAATGTATGTATATTTGGGACATGTAGTTTATTCAGTTGTTTTTAGATAGTTCTAGCTACTAGAGGTTGATAGTATAGATGCACTACTTGTACGAGCGCACTCAACCGTGCGTCTTGTCTCATCACAAAATTAAAATTGATTGGCAAGAATGTTCTGCCCTTGCCTACGCAGAGACGGCACCGGGCGTGTGGTTCTTGGGCTTGCTGGCCCAGATGGTGCCTTTCAGCCATGCAAACGGGTTCGAAGAACTGGATCGTTTCGGTTTCTCCTTGGCGTGCATCTTCTTGTGCTTTTTCTCATCATCACCCTGATGACTGGGCTTTCCAAATAGTGAGGAAGAGTGATTGGACTCTGTACTCAAGTCTGCACTGGTTTCATCACAACCGCCCACAAGCAAGGAAGGTGAAGTGGAGGAAGTGTTCTCACGGATCCCAAGGGCGGTTAAGTTATCCTTGTCTTCCAACATGCGGATTTTGTGGAGAATATGTGGCGCCTTCACTCCCCCCACAGGAGTGGTCTTCTTGGCAAAGGAAGATGCGTGGGAGCGAAGTTGTTTCTCAGCCTTTTTCAAGGCTTCTTGGGAAAGCCCCAGTTTGACGGAGGCGATGAGGAACTGGGCAATCATGCGAATATAGAGTTCCTGCGATAGCTTGGGATTTCCTCTTCCTCTTGGGTACTGCACAATCTGCAGCATTTTCCTTTGGTGTTGGGGACAGACATTATCTGCCTTCATGAAAGCAAGTTGCAGAAAGGCCACCAAGTAGACGTGGTGGTCCATGTATGGCTGATCCATGAAAGTGTCGGCAATGTCTTTGTCTCCCTCCGGTCCAAAGCGATTGGTTAAATCGCAGGTCCAAGCACGGAGAACGGGGGTCTTGGAGTCTTTGGCCAGTTTTTCCGTCAGCCAAGTGGGGATTTCAATTTTGGAGTATTCGGGAAGGACCACCTCCAGGTCTGTTCCAATGGTTTTGGGGGATGCCAGGGGGAGTGTTTTCATCTTCTCCTTTTCCATGGTCTTTTCACGTTCCGCCACCTGCGCTCCGTACTCAAAGACCACTCTCATGGAGGCCAGAATGGCCATGCACTCATCAATCAAACCCTGCTCCACTTGGAAGGTTTGCAGTCCTTGGGCAAAACAGTCTGCCGCCATGTCGTAATGAGTTTCGTTGAGCCCCTGATCCCGGAACATGTGAGTGTGAGTTCGAATCATAAAGTCCAACAAGTCTTCATCGGTAGGTTTGTCACTCTCCTTTCCAAAAATCGACCGAAACAACTTGATCTGATGCGTCTTGAGGGCCGAAACTGGGATATTCTGAAAGAATTGTTTGAGGACGGGGTGTTCCAATTTCTCGTCAAAAACTGCAGTTACCAAGAGGTTGAAGAAGGCATCACCTCCCAGGCGCTCATACAGCGAGGGTTGTTCATCAGCTCCTGTCATGGTGATATCTTCTGCTTATTTTGAGATCGAGAGGCTGGAAAAAATATTGGAGGTTGTTTCTTTTTATGATGGTTTGTGCTGGTTGCGGAGCTTTCAAGTTAGTTGTGAGGCTGGAAGCTGGAAGGAAGTTACATTTTGCTCGGGAGTTTTCGACGACGTCGACGACACACCTGGACTTCCAACAATGACTCTGGCAGATGCCCAAGTGTCGTAAAGGAGAATATACCTTTAAACCCGGCTGGTCGGACGACCTTCTGCTAAATAACGAGACATCCTCTTTAACTCATTTTGGATCCATGATGTTCCCATGCCGTACCTGGTACCGGTACGGTTTCACAGGTGGTACTCGACTGCCGACTGCTGCTACCAAACCGGTACCGGCACAGCTTCCAATGAAGAGCGTGGTGGAAAGCGTGGTGGAAACCAGTGGAGGGACATTTGTGGGGAGGCTTTTGTGTTCCCCTTTCCAGAAGTCGAAGTTCAGCCCCTTCTGGCTTATTGGCATTCTGAGTGTTTCATGAGATCTGCTTTTCTCTTGGGTATTTGCAACCCGTATGAGTCTCTGCCAACCACCAGCATCTCTAAAGCTCAATTGTCGAGCCATATCGTTGGTCAATGCCTTTCTAGTGGTTGTACCGGTAGGTCTGCTAGTGGTTTTGCTTGGCGATGTACAGGGCAGCATTGTTGGGCAATGGAGCTGCATGATGCCTCCACAGAGTCAATAGTAGAAGTAGATTGTTGTCCCTGGGATAATTTTCTTCCATTGCCCTTGGCTTCATTTCAGACCAGACTGTCAGTTTTCTTTGTATTTTTTAAAACCCATTCTTGGCATTTGCCATACTCTTCGTTGCGCCATGAGAGAAGGTTAAGATGAAGCTTCAATCTTTCCCACCAGTTTTGGCATTTCTTTTTTTCATACTTCTGTCTACAAATCCAACTGATTTGAGATAGGCTTTTCCATTTCCCTGCAATTGGAATGGGTACCAGCTAGTAGTTCGTTTGTTGGTTTGTTGTTGTTGCTGCGTTGTTGCATCGATGCATGGATGCGTCGCGCACTGTTTCGGAGGGGAGATACCAAACAGATCCCTCTTCTTGTAAACCATAAGCAGTGCCAACAGATTTAATTAAGATAAACCTCGCCATTCTGGTTGACCAACTATGGGAAACTCCTTCGTCCTAAGGAACGAATGTCCAGGTCCTGCCTTGAAAGCTCTTCCAGCTTCTTCTTCATTGGTGGCGTTATACTGGATGTTCAGATATGGTCTATTGTTATCTAGTGAGCCTTCGCGCGAAATTGGTGCGCATTCCCTCCAGTCAGAATCCTCACAATTTGTTTCTTTTCTTGGATCGATCGACTTGTGTTGAAGCAGTTGTGCCAGTTACAGTTCCCCACACACTTGTTCGGGAAGGCCTCAGATCTTTCAGTCCCAAACTACGGGCTCTCGGTGATCTCACCAACATTGCATTCTACTACTTGCTAAGAGTCGGGGAATACACCTACAGCCCCCCAAAGCAATGAACCAGAACTCAGAGATTTCGTATTAAAGATGTCATTTTCCGCCGGGCAAACCAATCAATCATCCCCAAACACTGCCCCTCTTCAGGAATTGCTCACTGCTACACATGCCACATTGCGCATTTCCAATCAGAAAAATGGAAAGAGGGGTCAGTGCATTCATCACCACTGTACTGGAACCATCACAAGCCCAGTCAAAGCCTTAGCACATCGAGTTTCACACATTATGGCCCACACAAACAACCCAAATACTGCACTCAGCACCTATTTTGAACTTGGTCAACCAAAGCAAATCCGACCACAAGACATCAATAACATCATCAAAAACACTGCCATTAAACTTGGCCTCCAACAGGCGGGTTTCACTCGAACCAACGTTAGCAGTCACTCCCTTCGCGCGGGTGGAGCAATGGCTATGAAGCTCAATGGAATTGACCCAATCACCATAAAAAACATGGCCGTTGGTCCTCCAACACATTCCTACAATATATCCACGAACAGATTGGATTCCTCACCATTGGAGTTGCAACCCGAATGTCACGTTACATCCCATTCACCAATGTAGCCCACATTCCATGCTGCCCCCACCTTTCTGAACCCATTGACGACATCACACACACACCCCACTAAACTAAACACATTTCACCCCAATCATTTCGGTGTCTCAGTAGCATTAGCATCGCTACCTCCTTCACCTACATTGTACAACCTTTCAGAAACTTGAACAGTCTCCGGACCTTCCATGGCACGGACTGTCCGGAGCTGTCCATCACTTTCACTATCACACCACAAATGGACCAACACATATGGAGATTCCATGCACTAAGTGGCTGTGTGGCATACACCAGCCATAGCAATAGTAAGCTGCTTCATATGCCCAAACTTAGTATGCACTCTACTGACTAGTCCATTTGAAGAGTGATAGTGCAAGTCTCTGAAAGCCACCTTGCCCACAAGTCAATCCATTCAGAAACAGGAATGTGGGAAGGCATCACAGTCTACATGTGGGGACAGAGTGTAGGACCGAGCCACATGTAGATCTAGTGAGCCTTCGCGCGAAATTGATGCGCATTCCCTCCAGTCAGAATCCTTACAATTTTTTCTTTTCTTGGATCGATCGACTTGTGTTGAAGCAGCCCTCTACCTTCCCTTTAGCCTAGGAGATTCCATGCACTAAGTGTGTGGCATACAGCAGCCATAACAATAGTAAGCTGCTTCATATGCCCAAACTTAGTATGCACTCTACTGACTAGTCCATTTGAAGAGTGATAGTGCAAGTCTCTGAACTGAAAGCCAGCCATCTTGCCCACAAGTCAATCCATTCAGAAACAAGAATGTGGAAAGGCATCACAGTCTACATGTGGAGACAGAGTGTAGGACCGAGCCGCATGTAGGCCACCAGTGACGAAGATAATGCCTGAACAATAAACCTTAACCCTAGTACTGTGGAAGATCGCTCCAGTGAGTTACATGTGGAATTCGGCTTTTTTCAGCTCTCGTCTCCTGGATCCCTTTGCTTCATTTTGGATCCTTATGACGAATACATGCACAACCGAATATTGTCAATTCAGCCATTGTAGCCGGCTACCATATAGTTACATCCGCGACAGTGGCAACCGTACTGAACACACTTAGATTCGGCTTTGCTCGCTACACTCAGTTACCTCAAATTGGATCCCCATGACGAATACATGAACAAACGAACATTGTCAATCCAGCCATTGTAGCCGGCTACTGCATAGTTACATCGGCGACAGTGGCAACAGTACTGAACACACTCAGGTTCGGCTTTGCTCGCTACTCTCTATTACCTCACATTGGATCCTTATGACGAATACATGCACAACCGAATATTGTCAATCCAGCCATTGTAGCCGGCTACCGTATAGTTATATCGGCGACAGTTGTAACAGTATACAACACACTCAAGTTCGGCTTTGCTCGCTACACTCAGTTACCTCGTATTGGATCCTTATGACGAATACATGCACAACCGAATATTGCCAATCCAGCCATTTTACCTGGCTACCGTATAGCTACATTGGCAACAGTGGCAACAGTAGCAAACAGTCTCAGGCTCGGCTTTGCTCGCTACTCTCCATTACATCACATGCTGCCTTTGGATCTTTATGGCGAATACATGTATCTGTAGTGGTAGATCACTCGACCGAAAATTACTCGACAACGGGATTTCCGCGGCCGTTGGCAGTAAGAGAATAGAAAGTAAGAAATAGATATGGTTTTCTATTCTGTTCTAATACTGAAGAAACCGGCGACTTACCCTTGTTCTCCAACTTGACTATCATGGGCCGAGAACTGAGTGCCATCCCATAATCAATAGAATTCAGTGAGGAATGGCTTTCGCTTCTGCACCGGAGACGGTCGGCTTGAGTGAGGATAATAATAGAGGTACGATTCGATTTTGATAATTACAACAGCTCACCTGATGACAGCCGAGAACTGGCTGCCATCCCATGGTCCATAGAATTCAATGAGGGATGGCTTTCAAATCTTCTACATCTTCAATGCCACTCTTCTCGTACCCTACTAGTCGTTCAATCGATCCACTAATACTCTTGTCGGCCAAGCTTGAATTTCTCTCCTGTTTCCCATAGAAATTCAATGAGGGAGAGAAGTCAGTGGTGCGCCTTCAATGATGGATTTGAGGGACGTATGTACCGGTACGTGTAGATCTGTGATTGGATAAACCTTAACTTTAGTAACTTCAATGATTCGTTTTTTCCACGAATCGATCTAAATCTTTCGAAAAGGAACTTTTTACTTAAGGATACACATGACCGTTGATTCTGCAACTGACTTGCCGCTACTCTAATTTATACAGTAAACGCCAGCAAATCGATTCCAGAGTGCAACTGAAGGGGTAACCAAAAGGAGCGCCGTCTCAGGAGACGGAATAGGATCTCTCAAATAGGAAACATCAGAGGCACGCATGTTTTTAGCATGCTTCCTACTGGTAAAACGTTTCACCTACGCATGCGATGCTTACAATTTGTACTGGTGCTGTTTACTATACGGGTTGAAAATTCCGTGTTCAATTCATGGTGGCTCAAGCCCAACAAAAGGGCCCGAAATCGCTATTTACAAGTAATTCTGCTTTATATTTGGGTTTTGATTTTATACTCGTGTTTCAATTTTATATTTTGGTTACGATTTGATATTTAGGTTTCGGCTTGATTTTACTAGTTATTCACCATAGTAATTTCATTTCGAGTTTATATTTTAGTTTCAGTTTTATATTTGGTTTTGATTATATATTTTGGTTTGGAATTGATCAATTTAATTGGATTCTTAAAATCCTGATTTCGGGCCCTTTCAACTTCACCGTTACGTTGCATCCTCCCCCAACCCCTTGCCCACCTCCATGGAGTCTTTTCCAAATCAAAGCCTCAATAACATCGCGCAACTCCTTTAATTAAATAGTAAAACTGCCCCCTGACAACCTCACACATGTAGCCCACCACAAACGTTAGTTGTTCACAGTGAAGCGTACGCCCATTGACGCAACAAAATGGAAAGATAGCTAAAGACTCCTCCTACGCCTTGCCAGCTTGCCTGCCAGCT